ATATTAATTGCTTGAGGAAAACATGATTGCAATGAACAAAGCCCCCAATGAGCTCGCTTATACACATGGAAGCTATGTTTGTAGGGAATTACTCGTCAATCTTTGACGTCCGTAACCCCTTCAGCTGAAATTTGAAACCGTGCTTCGGCCTCGGCTAAACACGGTGAACTTATCACCTTACAAATGCGTTCCTCCCCTCTTCCTTTCCGTAGAGCAAGCCTGTAGTATAAAATATAATTGGATTCATTTATGGACGTGAGGAATTGAACCTCTAACCTTTAGGTCAAAGGTACAATGTTTTAACCAGTTGAGTTGTAACCGTGACAAACCTTGTCGTAGAAGCATGAGCCATAATGTTTCCACCAATTGGCTTAATTTGAGGACCTGCAAAGATTGCTGAACCATCTACCTGTGCAACCACTTGATTTGTGATGACCACAGCCACACCAAACTACAACCAGATCATCAAAAGATATTGCTCTTTGTCAATGGTAAGAAAAATGCAAACTAAACCCTTTAGGGGATGAGTGCCTTTTACCTCATCTGCCATTTTCTGGAGACTCCTCAAGAACTTTGCTAGATGCATTTGCCGAGCCGAAAGTTCTCCCCTTCCTGAGAAATCTGTTCTGTAGAGGGCAGTAGCGCTATCGACTATCATGAGAGCAAACCTACATATAATGTGAATGGATCTCAATAATTTATTTCAATCAAGATGATCAATGAAACTTCTATCATTCCAGATGTCATCGGATGCATCATATTAGTGACAATGTAATGAAAACTGAAATGTGTAAAAAACACCGTGATAGTATTAAGTGATATTAGTATACATGCCGCTCACGTCCACTGCTAGCAGATATTGTTTCTTTGGGCTCTCTTTTGGGCTTCCCCTTAAAGTTTTTAAAACGTGTCTGCTAGGGAGAGGTTTCTACACCCTTACAAAGAATGTTTTATTCTCCTCCCCAACCGATGTGGGATCTTATGATCAACCCTTCTTCAAGACCCAGCATCCTCACTCGCATTCGTTCCCTTCTCCAATCGATGTGCAACCCTCCAATCCTTTCCTTCTGGGCTTAGCGTCCTTACTTGCACACCACCTCGTGTCCACCCCCTTCGAGGCTCAGCCTCCTCGCAGGCAAATCGCCCGGTGTCTAGTTCTAATACCATTTGTAATAGCCCAAGCCCACTGCTAGCAGATATTGTCCTCTTTGGGTTTCCCCTCAAGGTTTTTACAACACATCTGCTAGTAAAAGGTTTCCACACCCTTATAAAGAATACTTCATTCTCCACGGGTCGATACGCACAGAGCCTAGTATCCCCTCAAGGTTTTTACAACACATCTGCTAGTAAAAGGTTTCCACACCCTTATAAAGAATACTTCATTCTCCTCTCCAACCAATAGTGAGTCCTCTTTGGGTTTCCCGTCAAGGTTTTTACAACACATCTGCTAGTAAAAGGTTTCCACACCCTTATAAAGAATACTTCATTCTCCTCTCCAACCAATAGTGATCTCACAATACATGTCTAGCACATACAAACTATGATTAGTACCTTGTTTCCACCATCATTGAAGCAGCTTCCAGCAAAAGCCTTGACTGATGATCAGTGTTATACGCTCTAGCATAGGCCACATTCTCCAACACATCAGCACCATTGAGTCCAAATCTGCAACAATCAATATCAACCATTAAGCTATTTCATTACACACACACACAGATAACCATGCCTTATCATCAAACCTGTCTGCAATCTGTAGTAGCCTCTGGGGTCTAAACGTGCCCTCGGCATCAATGTACATCGCCTTCCCCTCTCCACCGCCTTGATCCAGTGGGAGCTGATCAATAATTCAAAACCCTCAGATGATTGAAATGAATGAACAGATTCCATAGCCAAAAACAGTCCTAATAATACAATTTTAAGCTGAACTCACTTGGCAGGTAACACAGAGTGTGTGACAAAGCTGAGTTTTCCCAGAACGAAACTCCCCATAGATTTCAGTAATGGATCCTGTCTCAATTCCCCCTGAAAGGAGGGTGTAAAATCTAAAGTAAGCAAACGAAAGTTGATAATAAAAATGAAAAAAACAGGACAATTGAACTTGAAAGCTCTTCAAGAAAGCAACCTTCAAGAATCTTGTCAAGTTCCCTTGACCCAGATGTTAATTGAATGATCTCCAGCCTCTGAGCATGGAGTTGGCCAGCACTTGTGAAACCCAATGGCACAATCTTGGAAGCTATTGACAGTGAAGCGACTCAGACAGAGAGACAAACATAACAAGCAAATGGGAAATGGAAAATCGTAATCAAATTGCATGCCTGCTTCAATAATTTTATCAACTTTAGCCTCGCTTATGCCCTTGATTTGAAGCAGTTCTTTCCTGGGAGAGTAAGCAACAGACTCTACCGTGCACAAACCAGCATCTTTAAGCTTCTTTATGTCAATTGCAGCAATTCCCGATGCCTTAAGTACAACATTCATGAATGAAAATAACAACATTACTAAAAATCGTCACTCGGAAATGATAATTCCGCAACCTAAAACCCATCGCGATTCCGATAAAGCAATGAAGGCAAATAACTTAATCCCACGATTAGAGACGAAGTGGAAAATAATAAGTTTAATCTCGAATTCGAGATTCGTCAGGCATTTAGTAATCGATCGATCAACAAAAAGAGGTTTAAAAACCCTAATTCTTGGTGATACCTGGAGCTGTTCTACGGGAAACGGGCCGTGCTGTATCTCCTCGGCCTCTTCGTGTTCTTCAGAGGGCTTCTGGTTTCTTTGCCGCTCCATTGTCAAATACTAAACCACCGACACGCAAATGGAAGAATCGCTCGATGCAATTGCCAGCCACTACCCAGAACCAGAAGAGCCCTGCGGATTGCACAGAGCAAGCGATTGGAAGCGAGAATGGTGGAGGGAATCTGTGAATTTCAAGAAGATTTGAGGGGCGCCAAAAAGAGTGGAGAGTACGGAAGTAGCTTACCCGGGAAGTCTATGATCAAATTTGGGCCGAGATTTGGACCATAATCCAATGAACTATTGCTATTTGGATCTCTTATAACATTGAAAAGCCCAATGGAGCAAATCTTAGAGAGCCGGGATGTTCACGTTATAGAGATAGAGAACGTTTCTTCGTTAGTGGGAGCTCAGGTCAGGACGACCAGTGAACAGGACGTTCAGACAAATATCACTATACCTATACGTAGAGTACCTTATGTTGAACCAGATGAGCTAGAGGAGAGCACGATGATGAGCCCTCCCGTGGAAGATGTTCAGGAGCCAGAGCCTCTTAGGATTAGGAGGTCTACTCGAGTCATCCTGGGACCCCACTATTTGACTTATATAGCACATGGAGTTGCACCAGATGAGACTCCGTGGAGTAAGCATGGGCTTTGCTTAATGCTATGTAATACATGGCATGGAGCCGTAGATGAGGAGATCTATTATCTAATTCGTAATAAAGGGGGGTTTTCACCTATCGTCTTTACCTAAGGAAGGTTGCAAATGGATCACTGTAGCGGTGCTCGACTTCTAGCCCTTCCTTACGGTTCATTTTAATCAATTAAGTTATGCTCAAATTGATATTATTTTTAATAGTGCAACGCTCCATGTCCAATATTTTAATCAAAATTCGAATTTGGCACATGAGGATCCTATCCAGTCCTACAACATGGTCACGTTCTCTTGTGTCGTGTCCCTGCTTTTTCCACCGCCATCTTTGTGAACCTCTCCCTAACAAACGCATTTTTAAAACCTTAAGGAAAGCTCAAAAGGAAAAATTCAAATAGGACAATATCTGCTGATAGTGAGCTTTGAATTATTACAAATGTATCAGATCCAGACATTGGGCGATGTGCTAGCGAGGAGACTGGACTCTGAAGGGGTGGATTGTGAGATCCCACATTGTTTGAGGAGGAGAATGAAAGCATTCTTTATAAAGGTCTGGAAACCTCTCCCTAATAGAGGCGTTTTAAAAACATCGAGGGAAACCCAGAAGGGAAAGTTTAAAAATGACAATATCTGCTAGCGGTGAAATTGAGCTGGTACACTAAATCAGTAGAAAAACACACAACTCGATCAAAGTGCGTATACTCCCTTTGTTAAGGGAAACAGGTATACACTGAGCTATAAAACCTGGCTATTCACCTCTTTATAAAACTGAAACGTATATTTCAAGATTATTGTCCATTCATGCGAGTAATCCTTATTAATCAAGCTTTGACTCTCGAGCCAGAACTGGATCCATCCAAAAGGAAACATCCCGAACTAGAAGCTGTTACATTAAATCAGTAGAAAAACACACAACTCGATCAAAGATTAAGCTGTTATATTTCAAGATTATTGTCCATTCATGCGAGTAATCCTTATTAATCGAGCTTTGACTCCCGAACCAGAACTCGATCCATCCAAAAGGAAACATAATGTATATTGGTTCATTCAACCGGGTCCAGTTTTCTATTCCTCATCTTTTGGGATGGATAAATATTAAAAAAAAAAAATCAAATAGAAAATAGAATAATCCTTTTAGAAAATATGCTTATAAAAAAAAAAAAAAACTTAAAAATGATAATTTCCACATGGATTGGGATTATCACAATCCAACGAACAACTGTATAGGGAAATGAGCTGGACAAAACACGTGATACAATTGGTTACAAAACACGTCATTTATTATATTTATTATATTAAGATAGTTACGTGGTTAAATGGGTCACGCAAGCAACTAAATGACGTGTCAGCAAAATCCTAATCCAAAAAGAAAAAGAAAAAAAAGTACTTTTAATATTTTAATAATAGATTCAGTCCAATTACAACTTTTAATATTTTTAAAATTTTTTTATTAGAATTTAAAATAACTAAAAGTAAATTTTTTTTTATTAAATATCGAAAATCATTAATAAAGCTGGTGGGGTCCACCCACCAACTTCCACGTGTACAATGCTGATGAGTTTGATCCACTTGTCCTCATTCTAATTTTCGTCGTATTAATCTTCTTCTCCACTTTCTGTTAGCAGACGAAAAGAAAAACGAAGTCCCTGAGCTCATCCATGGCGGTTGCGATCATTTTCGAGCGATGAAATATCCGTGCACTGCAAGAAATCTTCTCGCAACGTATTTGTTTCGTCAAGAAGACGATCTCTCTTGTTGCTCTTAGGGAAGGTAATGGCGGTTTCTGCAATCGTCTCTTCGCTCGCGATTATTGAATGTTGAGTTCATTTCCTGTGGTTATCTCAATGCGAGTCTGATTATATTGCATTGTAGAGAATCGAACGCGGAACTTCTCTGGATTTGTTGATTTCGGTGGATTTCTCTGCGTTGTTTCGTGTTTTACGGTGAGGATACGATTGATTTGTTGGTAACGTGCGTTGTGTATGTGTGTGTTTCTCGCTTTCGTATTTTTGGACGTGCATTTGGTTTGATATGGAAGCTGGTTTTGCATAAGATAGAGTAGGAGGCAAAGCGTTTCTTAACTTTTCAGGAGGTGTTTTTTTTCGTTTGCTTGATTGTGGCAAAATGTGGCGCGATTTCTCTGCATTTGTGTGAGTTTAAAGGACGCGAATGCAAGTGGATTGAATGTTGCGTGTACATTTGAATCTGAACGAAATTTTATTTCAGTAACGTTCTGCATTGTTGGCGAAGAAAATTAAAACCTGCAATAGCATCAATTCTAACCTGCAATAGCATCAATTTTACGAGGTTTCTAATCAAGTGCTGTTTTATAGATTGTTATATTCTGTACGTGTAGAGTTTTGTAGCTATTCAGTGGCTTATGCCTTCGAAAGCGATGTTCATTGTTTGATTATGCCCACTGCAGTTGATACCATGCTCGGGAACGGAGTGGTTGGGATTCTGTCCGAGTCTTCTAACAAGTGGGAAAGAAGGGTGCCTCTAGCCCCAGCACACTGCGCTCGACTTCTGCACGGAGGAAGGCAGAAAACTGGAATATCTCGTATAATTATTCAGCCATCGACCAAACGTATTTATCATGATGCACAATACGAGGATGTAGGCTGTGAAATTTCTGATGATTTGTCAGAATGCGGTCTAATTCTGGGTATCAAACAACCCAAGGTGAGAAAAGTTCTTTGTAATTACCTTTGCCTAGTTTGTTTATTCATATTTGAAAAACAGATAATTAATTCAGTTTTTTTTTGTTTTTTTGCAGCTGGAGATGATTCTTCCCGATAGAGCTTATGCCTTCTTCTCCCACACGCACAAAGCGCAAAAGGAAAACATGCCTTTACTAGACAAAGTAACACAACTGTTGCATCTTTACTCCACAACTATAAATTCCTTTCGACAAATATTCTTCTAATCTTCTATTTGGAATTCAGATCTTATCAGTAAGGGCATCATTATATGATTACGAGCTTATAGTTGGAAATCACGGAAAAAGGCTACTTGCATTTGGAAACTATGCTGGCAGAGCTGGATTTATTGACATTTTGCATGGATTAGGACAGAGTATGCTCCATTCCTGGAATATACTTTTTAACCTTTTATTTATTATGTTTTCCCGTCTTGTCAATTATATCAAAATATGTTTAGAGCTGAAGATAGGAGGGGGTTAGTTTTTTAGTAGTTTGGGATAATGACTTGATCTTAATTTGTTTGGCTAGGCTTTGTTATCAGTGAAGTTTGTCTTCTAGAAACCAAAAGAATCTATCTATCCTCCAAATTCACTTTATTAATTTGGTTCTGCATTAGAGTGGTTATCAACTAAAATTCAACTTGTTTCTGCAGTTTCTGCCTTCTTATTGCCCTCTTCAAATCTTTTATATCTGACATTCAAAACATTCAGAATTCTTGAGCTCGATGTTTTTTTCCTTTTATACTCAAAACATGGAGACGGTTGGATGCTCTTGTATAATAAATAGTGATAATATTCCCACAAATGTTACTGTGCAGGATATTTGAGCCTTGGAATTTCCACTCCTTTCCTCTCGCTGGGTTTGTCATACATGTATCCATCCCTGGCTGCTGCTAAGGCTGCAGTAATATCTGTGGGTGAAGAGATTGCAACACAGGGCTTACCACCAGATATTTGTCCTTTGATCATTGTGTTTACTGGCTCGGGAAATGGTATTTCATCTTTTAATTGATTGTCCTTTTTATAATTCATAGTATTTAGAGCTACAAATCCACAAGCTCGCGATTGTTTTCTCCCTACAATCACGATCTAATCTTATATATGCATGATTAATCATATTTATTGAATTTTTTGTTATAGAAATTGAAATTGTATTAATTAAAAAATGCAAGGAAGAAATATTAGAAAAATCAAGCATCTAGAATACCGAGATGTAAGAATGGTTCCAAAATTTAAATGTTTACAGTTTGGATCAACAAAAAGTGATAAATAAAATTCGTTTCTAGATCATTTTCCATTATGAATTTGTTTCTAGATTCTTTTTGAAAAATTTATTTATATATATCAATGGTGGTCAGCTTGCATCCAAGAGGAAGATGCAATATTTTAAAGGCATTTACCCATGCTAGAACCAGTCAAAGAAGCTAATCTTGGTGAAATGTTAGAATCCAAGATTATTATTATTATTTTTTTGTATAGAATTTTTGTAATATTTTTTCTTTTTAAGAGTTAGATTGTTTGGTGGAGAATCAAATAATTGACCTTTAGAATGATAATTGGTATCTCATCCATTGAGCTATGCTTGATTGACTTGGTAAGAATAATCTTGTGACTTTACATGCCAAAATGATTAAGAGGAGCAACAGAACGAATAAAGACAGATCCCAAAAAGATATCCCGATACGGTCAAATTGAGCATAATTCAACTAGTTTAGGCATATACCATCGACCCAAGAGTTTAGAATTCGATTCTCCCTTACCCAATATGTTATTAAACTGAAAAAATAAAAAGAAATATATCCCGATATGCAAATGTATTTGTATTTGAACTATTGAATTACTGACAGATTAACTTTCAAGTTCCTCATGTAATTCTGTTAAAGAAAGTGAACGTTACATTGGCTGGGTTGCCTACATCCTCAACAAATTGGATATCCCTTTGATTTATTGTGCAGTTTCTCATGGAGCGCAAGAAATATTCAAGCTTCTTCCTCACACTTTTGTGGACCCAAGTAAACTTCAAGAAATATGTGGGAAGGTGGGTTCAAGGTACCCCTTCATATGTCCTATTCACAAATTATTACTTTGGCGCATAATTCACTCTTGGCCTCCAATACTAGAATCTGATTAACGTAGTTGCCCATTTCAATAATGAACCAATTGACTGTTGTCAAGCTAGTTCAAAGTTCAAAGTTGATGATGGGTATGCATCATTAAGTGATGGTGTTGGCAGTATTATGAATGTCTGATATTGGGAAAGGTGGACTCTCCTCCTCTGTCACGTTCATGTTAGAGACATTGGTTAACCAACATGTTGACTTTTCTTTAGTGGAATTGTGAAATGCTGTGATTGTCGATAAATTAAAAAAATTTCCTAAAACATTGATAGCTCACAATTCCTTCCTTTCTTTACTTGTCTTTGATATAACCTGTGCAACACCTTACGATAATGAGAAATGGATTTAATGAATAAATTCTCAAATAAAGTAGAGAATAGTTTTATTTATTGTAAAAATAACAATGATTTTATGGTCTTCTTGTTTGATACATATTTGTAAGTTTTAGAAACCACAAGCTACCTAAAATAGAAGTTAAAAAATCATTAGAAAAATGTGAATATGAATTTTCTTGGGACGATGCTACCTCATTTTTAGTGTCTTCAAGAATCAAACATCAAATAATTAAGAATGAATAGATTAATTGATTTTTTAGTTATTTAGCATTTTCTTGCATTGTATTCCATACGAGAGCTTTAGCATTTTCTTGTTCAGTCTGCAGGAGGATTTAGTTTTTTGAGCTACTTTTAGATGCTTTATTATGCTGAGCAGTTTTCCTCCAACTGTTTTTAGAATGTGGAACTTCGCCAACATGGAACAACAAGAAAGAGGGTCTTCCAAATATATGGTTGTGTTGTGGGTTGCCAACACATGGTTGAACACAAAGATTCAACAAAAAAATTTGATCGAGTAAGTTTTTATTCACCTTTTCTTTCCCTTGAGTCAAATTTTGATTGGGATTCTGGTTATGTATACAAAACTGCCAGTTGCTTTGCATGGCAATATCAATTGATTAGAGAGTGGATGAATTGATCAAGGAAGGGTTTCTTTTTTTGTAGTTTCCTGATAAAGTTGCAGCACGAAAATCATGTGCATAGACACCACTCGGATACATCCACATCATTATTTAAACATTAGAACATAAATGTGGTATTAATAAGGAAAACATAAAATAAGTTTATGTAAATCAGTCATGATATGATCCATATTTTTTTATGTGTGTTTGGTAGTCCCATGATATTTTTCCTCTTAAACAGCCTTTTGGAATGTCCTTTCGCCAGACGACTACATTGCTTTAATTTCCAACCTCATTTTATTCCTGTATCTAAGTTCATTTGTGAATGTTCAGATCTTCCATAAAGTTCTTCACTTTTCTTTATCTGCAATTAAGTGTTTCAATGTCTTTATATGCTTTTGGCTTGATATGTAATTTCTGGGAGAAAAAAAGAACCTAAATTACCAGTTCTTATCTTGTTTTGCAGGTTGATTACTATGCTCATCCAGACCAATATCAACCTATTTTCCATGAAAAGATAGCTCCATATGCTTCTGTTATTGGTATGCTTTCTTTTGCTTGGTTCCTTGTTAACTTTGTCTGGGACACATTTACTCACATTGTTTGTTTTAACTAGCATAGTGAATGTCAGATTTCTTTACGTTCTCATTTTCCACTTTCTTGATCTTATACGAATACATACCCCATTCACTATCAATCTTTGTTACAGAGACAATTGGTTCACCGTAGCTGCAAGCTTAATTGAAAGGGGCGCATTTTGCATTTGAATTTATGGACAAGATCTCCATTTATTTTGTTCTATAATATTTCTAGTCCTCATGTGGTGTGGCGTTTGTTTGGATATGTGTACATGCCCAGACATGTATGCGTCCATGTTTTTATTCCCATATTAAGTGTAGATCGTTCATTCACTGTGCAGCCCTAGGTAAGAAACTTGACGGCATATAAATGATGGAAATATTCTCACATATATTGATGAAAATAGACTTTCAGTCAACAATTATACCCAATTGAGGGTTAAAGAGCAAAAGCCAATAACGTTGTTTCGATGTTGATAATGTTTTGGAGAATACAGCTATCAGTGCATATATTCAATGCACTTCTAATATCTATACGAACATAATGCTAAAAAAATCATATTTTATATTCTTAGTACAAAGTTAAAAACCTTTATTTAGGATAGCACACCCAGAGCGTTTTCCATTTCAAAGAGAGTTTTTGGTCCAGGAAAAACAATAAATAGAAATCTAGTAACTACGACACATGCATTGTAATAGCTGTCTATGGTCTGGCTCTTAATGATTTCATTCTTCATAGCAAGGAATGCAATCTATATGAGTCAGTGCTTGACATCCAACTCTTTTTAGTACATATCTGTGAAAAATATTGTCATGTGTTTAATTAAAGATGAACGCATGTGCTACATCTTGGGCAGAGGTGCAATGGGATTTAATTGTTAGCTATTTAACTGGATACTCATTCAAGAATGGATACCCATTCAAGAATGAGACGGAGGATTATTTTGGTTGGATACAACAACTGGATACTTATCTGCTACATGTTGACAATTTCCTTGCTGTTTTGTAGTAAATTGCATGTATTGGGAGAGAAGATTTCCACGGTTGCTGAACACCATGCAGTTTCAAGATCTAATGAGAAGTGGATGCCCTCTTGTTGGTATTTCAGATATAACTTGTGATGTAGGGGGTTCAATAGAATTCATTAACCAGACAACGTCAATTGACTCTCCTTTCTTCCGGTACATAAGATTAATGTTCATGGGTGTAGAATCTGTTTACAGTCACTCCCTCTCTATCCCCTCTTACTATGATTGGTTTCGTGAGGGTCTTAGAAATTCCACACAAAACCAATCAACTTGCCTCATTTCTTGAGGGTCTTAGAAATTTGATTGGTTTTGTGTGGAATTGTCTGTGGATACTATCATTATTGATTAGAACTTTTTAAGTTATTGAATGAGTAAAGCAATGTGCACTTTTCAGGTATGATCCTTTTAATGATTCATACCACTGTGATTTGGAAGGCAGTGGAGTGATATGTTCCGCTGTGGACATTCTTCCAACAGAGTTTGCCAAAGAGGTGATTGGAATATTTCTCTTTTGCTGGGATTTCTGTTAACTAGGCGTGCTGTTCTGTTTCTCTGTCAAAAAGTAACCCCACCTTTTGTCCCCCTTTGTATTCGTTCCATTTTACTCCACCTTTAAAGTTTTGTCTATATGCATTTTACTCTTTTTAGATTTTTTTCAGTCTAGATGACATTTATTTTTATATACATTTTAGTCTCTCTGCTTAACATTATCCTTTTATTTTTTTAAAGGCCTCCCAGCATTTTGGAGACATCCTATCGACACTTGTTGGCAGTCTGGCCTCTGTAGTCGACATTTTAGAGTTACCCATGCATTTGAGGAGAGCCTGCATAGCCCATAGAGGGGCACTAACCTCTTTGTATGAATATATTCCACGTATGCGGAAGTCAGAAACTGAGTAAGCTTCTGTGTTCACCACCTTGGCATTTCATTTTGATTTAGTGTGTGCTCATCTTCAGTCCATTCTATGATTGTGTGGTTCTCAGATGAATGCAAGTGGAGTTTCTGGAAGTTGATGTCAAAACTCAAAATTTAATAAACTTGACCTTAAATTTATCCCAAAAACTTGTCTAAGAACCCGAGAATGCTTTTGATGTATAATAGTGCATCGTTGAGCACTTGTTTTTTTTTTGTTATTTTATAATCATATTTAAACATTATATTTTGCTATTAAAAGTAAAACTACTTTTTTCTTAAGTAATGTTTTAATGGCTTATGCTTTGCTTTATCTTAAACTATTATTCTTAACTTTCAGAGAATTATCTGTGGATATTGCTAATGGCCACACCAACAAAAAGTTCAATATACAGGTAGGTTGCTGAAGGCGTATGTTAGATATCGTTTCTTCAGTTTGCCCATAATCCACAAATTTTATGGTTGAAGTAGATCCTAACTATATTTCCTCTGCCAGGTGTCTCTGAGTGGCCATTTGTTCGATCAATTTCTAATAAATGAGGCCTTAGATATTATTGAAGCAGCTGGTGGCTCATTTCACTTGGTTAACTGTCAAGTGGGCCAGAATGCAAATGCTATGTCACACTCAGACCTTGAAGTAAGCATGCTCCCAATCCAGTTTATATACAAGAGTTGATTGATGTATTGTAATAACTTATCTTATCTAATTACTTTCCTTCAGTATCTATTTGAGGTAATGCAGTACCGATGTCTGTATCTCTTTTCTTATAATTCTTAGATTGAATTGACTGGATGTTTTTTCCCCTATAGTTAGATAAAAAGATGCATATACTTACTGGAATCAAATTCTCGTAAAGAATGTATTGATTATAGATCCAACATATTCTACACATGCGAACTAATTGATGGTTCTTGTTAGATGTCTCATAAATAAAATTTTACTAGAATTCTAATGATTACTAGTTGCTGCTTACATTTTATTTAAATTGGTCTATCCGTTAGTAGTTTAAAAATAATTTTCTCAGGCCCAATGGGCAAAACACTGTTTTGAAAGTATGCTATTGCATTTCATCTACCAATTATGCTTGCTTGCTTTTAGAGCCCTCGTTTACCATTCAAATTCATTATTTTGTGTGATTCTTCCAGTCTGATAAACCATTTTTTTTTCCCTTTGATATTGTAATCAGTCAGACAAGTTTCCTCCATGCCTAAGCAGACATTAATTAGATTCATGTTTTCCTTAAGTGATTATCCTACTTTTGGCAGATTGGTGCTGATGATACAGTGATTTTGGATAAAATAATTTACTCTCTAAATCTGATGGCTAATCCAGAAGAAAATCTTGATCTCGTAAATAAGGAGACAAATAAGATTTTTCTTAAGGTTGGTAAGATTCAAGAGAGTAGCTCTAAAAGGGAAGATACAAAAAGGAATACTGCTGTTCTGCTTCTTGGAGCAGGTCGGGTTTGTTATCCAGCTGCTGACCTCCTAGCATCAAGCGGAGGGAGTTCACATCGTCAGTTCTGGAAAACTTTTCTTGAGAACTATGCTGAAGACTGGAATGATGTTGAAGTTATCGTTGCTTCACTCTACCTGAAGGATGCAGAAGAGGTAAAAACTTATATGATTGCATATGCCAAAAAAATGCTGCTAGAATATTATTGTTTGACACTGCATGGTAATAGCAAGAGGATAGGACTTGAATGCACTTCGTGAAAAGTGTGTACGTTCCCTACTTTGATAAGGTTGACAGTTTGTGCATATAGTACTGTTTAGCTTACGGGCATTTTTTTGTCTTTGTATGCCATTCTAGATAACTGAAGACATTGCTAATGCGACAGCTGTGCAGCTTGATATTACGGATTCTGAGAAACTTTTTATGTATATCTCACAGGTACATAATTTGACATTTTCTCTTAAAAGCCAGTTTACTGTGACTAAATAATATTTGCAACAAGAGAAGTTACATACACGTTGCTTTATGCTTTTGTACGGAATTGAGTTGCAGCAACGAGTCATTTATCAGTTCGTGTTGTCTTGTTTTCAGGTTGAAGTTGTTATAAGTCTGCTGCCACCTAGTTGCCATCTTACTGTAGCAAAAGCATGCATTGAGGTAATGTTTAGTGTTAAATAGTATACTTCCTTATCATCCAGGAACCTTTTTACCATTTAGTGTTAAACAATATAATTTTCACCTGATATCTTGGAATTTATTATATCTGATAGCATGGAAAGAAGTTTGAGTTCAACAATTTATTAAAACTGATAGCATGGGAAGAAGAAGTTTGAGTTCAACAATATCATGTGAGATGAGGGATTCGAACCTCTCACCTCTCACCTCTTGATCAAGAGTATGTGTTGCTACAGAAGTTAAAAGGAGTTATAGAGTTACATTATGTAAATGAACCTAGAAAAATTCTTTTTGAATATTTATCTTATTATTTTGGTTCCCAATTAATTCAAGAAACTTGTGGTAGAAGATGTTTCATCTATTTTTGTGGATAATAAGTTTAAATCTATGTACCTTTGAAGTTTGCACCAAGCGGATTAAGAAAAATAAAAACAAAAAGTTAGTTAAAGATGTATCTGCAAGACCTCAGTAAGGAAAGAATATATCCTTTATGAGGATCTGGCAGTAAGAAGTTGAACCCGAAGAAGGGAGAGTTTATGTGATAAGAAACTACCTGAAAGTGTAATGCATGCAACAACAATTTACTAAGGAGCGTCTGGTGAAAGAGAACAAGAAGTGGCCTCTAGAAGAGGAAGTTTTGTGGGCTTTGGTGGTTTCAGTGAGTTTTGTTTTGGTAATTATTCGTTAGCTTGTCTCCTTTTATAGGTCCTCTTTTATGTATGCCCTTGCATTTCATTTTTTCTCCATGAAAGTTCGGTTTTTAAATAGAAGAAAGAAAAAAGAAAAAAAGAGGAAGTTTTGATGAATGTGAGAGTGAGATGGTATGCGACCTCCTGGCAATCCTTTCCATTCCTAGCCTTGGGTGAGTATAGTTGAGAGCATGAGTGGATTCATTTGCATAGGGTAAAAGTTTTGAAAGAGGCATAATCATGTGGAATTTGGGTTTATTGGAATAAGTGTCATGAATTGATTGCTCTAGTTATAAGTGGGGAACATGGTTGAGGAATTGTCTAGGATTTGCAAACTTCTCCATTTTATTCAATGGGAAGCCTGAAATTTTTTACGATGAGTAGTGTTGGTCAGGCAAACAATCCCTCTCTTCAATCCGTTTAATTTTGTAATGATTGGTGTCTTTACTAGACTTATTTTTATGGAGATGGATATAGGTTTTTGGGCTTTAGGGTAAGGAAGGAGGGAGAGATTTCACACTAATCATAATTGGCAGTCTGTTGTTTTCTCGTGCTTTAGAATCAAAGGATCTAAATATGGGGTATTGCAGTCAAGAGAGTTTTATTTGAGAGGATAGTTGCTAGTTGTTGTTGTTGCCTTTTTTTTTTCTTATTTGAAAATTTTGATCTTGTCTTGTATGGAAGAATTGTGCTTTTTTTTTTTTTTTTTTTTTTAAATCCTTA